TGGCGAGCATGCGTATACTTTCAATAAATTCTCATCAGGCCATTACATTTATGTGGGAGTGGGGTAAAGCGTAAAAGGTAAATTGTAGGTAAATTTCGTTCAACCTTACAAGCAAATTAATCCAGGGGATAGGGGAGAGGGTGGGGTAGCATTTTCATTTGTAAGTACACCAAAAATCTATTGAAAAGATGCACATCACTAAAGTAGTCATGTTTATCTAGTCAGTTTTTTTCCGGAGACCAAAAAGACGTCCGCGCAAAAGTCAGTATGCTGTTGTTTCTGGAATATCTTGGGATTATGCCATAAGATAATAAAGGTTACAGCTCTACTTAAGTAATCCTTCCTTATCTAAAAGGTAAAGGTTTGGTTAACAGAGCATGAGAGCGGTTTCTGACTGAGCATTCCCTCCGCAATTAAACCGAAGAAAAATCACTTACTAGTGAAGCTGCGTGTTCTTGCTGGCAGCCTGCCAGCCCGTGACTGAAGTGGTGGAATGTTTAAAGTAAACACTCGAGAAAAAACTTCAGCCGAATCCAAACGATGTGGGCTTGGTGTAAGTGTGGCTGATACGAACAAATAGGCAAGACATATCCATTTTAGACTTCCTCTTCTTCAACCATATTCTTGCCGCATTGTTGATTGTTTTTCATTATGCAACCACCCTCGAGAGCTTCAGACTGGATCTCAAAACTACGATGAAGTGGGCGCAAACCTTGCTGTGCGCGCTTCTGTCCGCTAAGGTGATGTGGTCGTGAGTACAACCAAATTGGTGACCCCGACGTGCTGGAATACGCAATTGCTAGACGTGGCATGAGTTTCTCCTCTCCTCTCCACTTCAACTAAACTTTCCTGCGTCTGTTGATGTGACAACGATATGGAAAATTCAATTGCCCCCATTCTGTTGTGAATCGAGGTATATAATCACTCGAAACCAACAACTAATGACACGACATGCAGACTTGCCGTCAAAGTTCAAATAAAAAATTCAACGAGTGGATTCCTCTAGCCATTCCCGTTATTTTAGCTCCTTTCTGACTGTTGCAACTGCCCACGCCACCAATAGCAATGGCGGATTCCGTACAAGCAGTAGGCTGGGCGGTTAAATCGACCCAAGTGTGATTAAATTCAAACCTTCGGCGTGCCTTCGTAGCTAGAGCGTTG